TGTGTGTGTGTGTGTGTGTGTGTGTGTGTGTGTGTGTGTGTGTCTTGTGTACATATTGAAGCATGCAGCAGCTGGAGATGACTTAACACCCTGCACCATGACAACCCAGGAATAATTGCGCATATTCTGAATTCCAACTTTTAATGTTGTGGTTAGTCTTTTACAAACTCGAACAGAAGGTTTTAATTTTGCTCCACGTGTCTTGTCTTAAGAGTGTGACAGGAGGATGTGTGGAAAGGTAGCAGGGTGTGGTTAACATCCTGGAGGTATAAAAATAAAGGTAGGAACTAGAAAGGCATTTGGTAAGCACACGCCTCTGTCAAGGCCAATGGTGCATTCAAATGCTCCTCAGACTGTCTTATTTCCTGAGTTGTAAAGTCGTTCTTCTCTCTTTAGTTTCTTTATTAGCTCGTAATGTGAAAACAACCTGGATGCTACAAAGAATATATGTAGTATCATTTTTTATTTGGAGCGTTCAACATGTTGATACATAGTGTACTCAAAGACATATACATGGTCAATTTCAGTAAAACAAAAATCAATGAAAAACAGCACCTTTTTAAATGATAAAACCCACATTATTAATAAAACATTGAAAGCAGCTCTGACAAGGTGAGATTTGGTTATGGACCGATTGGTGTAGTCACGGATGTGTTTGTTAAATTGTTGTATTATTCCGAAACCGCATGAATGCAGCAAATGTCCTATCTGGCAAAGTTAACAGTTAAATATTATGCATGTACACGGCAGGTTTAAAGATTTGGATCCTCTCCAAATTCCAATGGATTATTCTTTGGTCCATGCTGCACCCTTCCAGCAAATTTCATGAAAATCAGACAATTTGATTTTTAATTATTTTAGCAATAACATCGACAAACCAAGCCAAAAAAAACCCTATTGGTTAATAAAGAGAATCAGCAAGTTAGCAGCGGCCATGTGCATGCCGGCCCTGCAAGATGTTTCCCTCCGGTGTTAAAAGATGGACGGCAAAATGGAAACGGGCCCCACCTTCAGCCCCTCCACATCATAGGAAGGTGGAGTCAGTCTGAGGCTGCTGGAGGCTGAGAACACAGAGAGAGGGAATGATGGAGGAAAGTAGGTCAGAGATACAGAAGCATTCAAGCATGAGAGCAGCATCCTCGTCTCAGCTGAGCTACACGCAGCGCTGCACGCTGACAAACGCCTTTGTTTCTGGGTTGGATCTGTTTTAACACGGAAATAATTACATGATGAATAAATTGCCATGAAATGAATCGACAACATGTTAAATATTCCCTGCTCCTAGCTTCTCAATGTGAGGATGTGCTGCTTTCTCTGTGTAATGTCGATGTCAATGGATCATCGTTATTCTTTTGACTGCTGGTCAGACAGAATAGATTTCAAAGACCTAAACTTGCAATGTTTTTGACATTTTGTAAATAAACCCTTTGACATCAACCCCCTTCTTCCTCTGAAGAAAACAATATTTTTTTAGGTTTCTGTTCTGCCATACATGAAACTCACAATTATGGTTTGATCTGTCTAAAACCCAAAGATATTTTCAGTTTCCAATAATGTCAAATACAGGACAAATGCAGAAAGTTCTCACATTTCAGAAGGTGAAATGAGACAAATATTTGCCATTTTTACTTGGTTTGATAGAAGTAACACTCAATTGTCGAAATGTCAAGAAGTTCAATGTAAACTGTCGAATCAATTTGTCAACTATTTTCAGTTCAGAATAATGCATTTACATGTACACAATAGACTAATCATTTCAATCATTTTTCAAGCAAAAATACCCAACAAATACGTCATTAGTCTCTGAAATGTAAGGATTCCCCTTTCCTTTTTTTAGTATGATAGTAAACCGAGTATCTTTGGGTTTTGGACTTTTTGTTTACAAAACAAGCAATTTTGCAGACGCCACCTTGGTAATTGGGTTACTGTTGCTCTAGGGAATTGCAAAAGACAGATACAAAAAAGAGAGAAGGTTTTTCAAAATGTAAGCACCACAGGCCAGGATTTATCCTTTTTTTGGTCCCTAATCAGGGTCAGGCTACAAAAACACTGCTGGTTTGTCAGAAGACATTATACAGCGTTTCCCTCACAAATGATAACGAGCAAAACTAAAATGTGTTAAATTAAAATGAACATGCTCATTTACTTTGGCGATCCTACTAGTACTTTTTACCTGCTTTAATGTAATTTAAACACATACTGCCTGTATTCACCCTCTGTCTGAAATGCTTAATTTAACCCTCCTGTTGTCTTCGGGTCAAATCTGACCGATTTACTACTTCAATCATAACATCAATCATAACTTTTTTGTTTTACATTCAATTGCTTTAAAGGTGGGGTAGGTAAATTTGAGAAACCGGCTCGAGATACACTTTTTGTTATATTCCATGGAATGCTCTTAACATCCAGATAGCAATGAATATCTTAAGTGCTTTGACAAAAAATCCATAAAAAGATGTCATCTGTGGAAGCCGTAATACTGTAAAAAGCACGACCAATCATCTGAGCCGGCCCGGCTAAAATAACTGGATGGCCTACCTGCCTGTCAGCCTTCCATCGGGGCACAAACTTATCTCGCGCCCTCATTGGTCATGTCGCGTTCGTGTGTGTTGGAGGAGGGGCTCTGTAAGGAAGTGGCAGATTTTTTCCGGCTGTGTATTTTCAAATTCTAGCGATCTCGAGCTGGTTTCTCCAAAATTACCTACCCCACCTTTAAGGCTTTATGATATCCTCCACAGTAGACATTTTAACATATAAAATTGCTGATCACCACTTTCATTGAATTTTGGATGATTTAGTCAACTTTGTAACACCCGGTCACACACACACACACACACACACACACACACACACACACACACACACACACACACACACACACACACACACACACACACAGAACAATTTGACACATGTCCCGCTCTTATGTGCCCATCCCCCCACATGGATCACACCTGGCACACGCAATACATGTTCAGTGTCTATTCTTTGTATATTTACTGCAGTTTTTCATGTATACCAGTAGTCTGATACACTATTTACAGTTTGAAAGGGTGTTAAATTAAATTTGGTGATGATGAATGGTTTTTGTGTTAATGTAATAGCAGTTAAAACAGGACCGGTCAAATTTGACCGCAAACACCAAAGTAAGGGGGGGGGGGGAACGAAGACAATTAGGAGGGTTAAGCGCTGTCTCTTTAAAGACCCAGACACAACAAACAGAGCACCTTTAGAATTAGTCTAACTAAACATCTTTTTAACTAGACTTACTGAGGATTTTACAAAGATGGCCAATTCATTGGAATGCTTTAGAAACAGGAGGTCTTAAAAACATACATTTAAGTAAATACTTTCCCAGCAGAATCAAATTGTACAGGTTTTTCAACATTGTTTCCTTTGAATACATTTGCAATTTAAAATACTTGACTTAATTCACTACAGGGATTGTATAAGGGCATTACACATCTGTGAATGTTTGATACGAGATTACTCTTGAGGGTGAATATTTGGTGTATGGTTTTTACATGAATGACTCCCTTGCTTTTCCCCTGAATATACACACCTTAGTGTTTAGGGAATAATGCACTGAGCACATTAAGCATAAGCACCTCTGTGCGTGCTCTTAGCATGGCGCTATCTGTGTCATTGCTCCCCCCGAGTATAAACAAGTCTGCTCTGATTGGCCAGTGTTCTCTGCGTTTCTGCACTGTCATTCGACCAGTAAATGACTGTAAAGGCGCTGTATTTTACCTATAAATAGTAGAGTTGTGACATTACAACCTTGCAGAAGTTCTGATGGATCATTTAAAGGCACAGTGTGTCTGCATATTCTTGTGGATTGAGCGTTCTGATACTTTCACAGCTTTTGTATAGCGAGTAAGCCTACTTTCTAATCTAAAAAGACATGAAAATCTCGTTTTTTTTCAATACATGCCCTTTGAGATACATCAACATTATGCCCCAGTTTGCTGCAGAACAGCACACACAGTTTCAGACTGCATGTCCTTCTGCATGCTCGCTGCTCCTGGAGCTGTGTCAACATCCCTGTTGACCGAGCTCCTTGCAGAGCCTTCTTAGCGGGTTCGCTCGGGAGCCGTGGGCCTGTGCCAAGATGACATTTTCACACGCCCCTGAGAGGAACAAGCTGCATCAGCAGACCTTCAAGCCTTTTCCCCCTCATGAAGCTGCGACAAAGAGCGCTGTCATGTTCCCTTTCTGCAGCAGGTGACATTTATGTGCTTGTATTAACCTAGAGCAAATCATGACACAACGAGATTGGTGTGTTGATGAAAATAATAGCTCTTATCTTTACAGTCAGTGTAAAAAGGGCAACTTAGCCTAGTGTTTCCCACCTGTCTCCTGTTATACAACCACTCTGCAAATTGACCTACATTCCCTGTGTACATACAGTATATGTATCTAAAGGATCGAGTTCTTATCAGCCTTGAGTTTGTTTGCTCTCTAACCGTCCGAGCTCCCGGATGCAGAGTGAGCGCTCCTCAGAGTGGATTGTCTTTGTTGGCAAGTGTGCAGCCTTCTTGTTGTTTGGATGCTGTCATGTGTAATGCTACAATGGCAGATTTGTCCGGAGCACTGAGAGTACACTATTCATTAGGATTTCTAAGAGACACACAAACATCGCTCTAGCGTTTATAAGATATTGTAAGCTATTTTTTTTTAATGCATTTATTTAAGTATAATTTTTGTGTTTTTATATGTTTTTCTTATTGTCAATAAATCCCAATAAAAGACGAAAACCAACAATTTCTTAGCTTCTTATGTCACTCAGCTCCAAGCCAAGCCTTGTTCCAGACTGATGAATAGCTGCCTAGATCTCCGATTATTTCAGTGAATCAAGTAACTGTAGGTCTGGTGTTTCAACCATTTAGAAAAACCAGCAGAGCCTATCAGAGCTTTGCGCGCAGGATTAAGAATGGGGACGTTGTGTTCCTGCGCCAGTGCCAGACAAATTAGGAAGGGCACGGCCAAGAAAAGGGGGGCAAGCATGGAAGAGATCGATACAGCTGTACAGGTTATTATAAGTGAACTAACAGAAACAATAACTGTTGAAGTGGCAGATTTATTGTCATGCTACTAACAAGCACTGCTTCTGTGTCGACTGAAAATGACGTTAGCGGGACGGATATGTGGCTTGCTTCTGATTGGATAGAGCAAAAATGATGACCATTGTCAAACAGAAATCCACAATTCAGTGTGTGATTGAATGTGTTTTACATTTTCAGAAAGATGGACTTTAAAAAGGTCACAAATATATCATTGTTCTTTGGTGTTTTTGTATTTAAACAAGACAATAGTAACTGGAGTTATTATCAAACAAAAGAGAGGAAATAGTGCATTTGTGGGGACTATTTTCATGGGCGGATTATTCCCTTTTTGTTGTCAATTAAGTTTTTCTACTCTGGTTGTTTGGTTGCCACTTTCTCCCATTCGTGCTGTTTGTGCTGCATGTGGGACATTGTTTAGACATCCAAGGTCAGGAGATATGAATGTACACAGAGGGAAGGTCACATAGCTGAGCCAAGTGTGCCTTTTGGCGTAGCTCTTATTGGGAGGAGTAACCACGGCAACAGTTGAGGCATTGCTGCCTGTAAAAAGGCAGTTGCATCACTGCATGGTGGTGAGCCTAAAGAAGGCCAATGGTGGGAAAATATACTCCTTTACATAAAGGAAAGGACCAATTCAACCCTGTTAAAATACTCGTACAAGTTAGAAATCCTGCTTTCAAAATCATATCTGACTCAAATGTAAAAGTTCAGAAGTATTATCCCATAATGTACTTAATGTACTTTCAAAGTATAAAAAGTGCAGGAATATTTCTGCTGTGATTTGCAATTTTTATGATTTTTGAAGTGTATTTGCAATCGCCAGAAGTAAAAAGCTAAGGTTAGGCTATAAACGAACAACATCACCGCATAATCACCGCTAAGCTAAAGGCGGCTAATGTTCGACATGATGACGTTTTAGTAGTCTCATTTAGTCACTTGTTAGCAACTGCATTTCCATGACACATAGATGCTTCAGACATCAGACAAGTGGGGTATTTTCTGACACATTTTGTCGTAGAACCAAACTTGAAAATCTCTTAAGCTGAACTGACCTTACTTCATGCATTCTCTACCAGAAACACCGTCAAAAATGAGCTGATGAAAGGGAAGTGGTAAAGGGATAACTCATTTCTGTAAGACTCTTTTCTCCGCTTTAGCGCCTGGCTCTTAAGCCCCTCCTGAAAAAACCCAGTCTGCTCTGATTGGCTTGCGAGAAAATATGGTGCACATTTGCTGTAGTTCACAAGCCATTAGGGAAATTAGTCAGATGAGGAGCAGAGAACTCTAATGAGGTCTGGTTTTGTAACCTGCAACAAAGGTAAAAAAAATGTGTACGCCTAGTAGGTTTTAGCAATACGTTTTGTTTTATAAACTCTTATTCTGTTTAATAAACAAAAAAAAGCACATTGAATGGATACACAAGTCTCTGAAATGTAAATCTATCTTTGAAAACATTATCAAAAAAACGTGCATTTAATCAATGATGAATCTTTGCCATAATATTAATCAGGATTATTCCGAAACGCATAGTAAACCAGAACATAAGTGTCTTGTTTTTCAGCAGCACTGCTAGGAGCTTACACAAAGTGACGTTCATGACCAAAGTGATCATTTGAGAGGGAGTATTGATCAGAAGCCAGCAAATCAGATCATCATGCACTGAAAGAGCAGTTTGGATGTCGACACTGATTACGCCATAAGCTCTCTGCACAGCCTCTGTTTGTGTGTATTAGTGTGTGTGTGTGTGTGTGTGCGTGTGTGTGTGTTTGTGTGTGTGTGCGTGTAACAAGGCAGTGTGAAAAAAAAAAGTATAATTCAAAGTGAAAACTGTTGATGTAACCAGAGGCTTGTGTTTAATCTGATATGTAATCCTCTTTTGATGAGATTTGATGCAATTCACATCTCGCCAGTTGAAGGATCATGTCTGGAATATTAGGTTTACTTCCTGATGTACAGTACACAGTATTGGAGGTGGAGTGTATCTAAAGTACTGTACTTAAGTATTGGGCTGCTCGATTATGGCAAAAATCATAATCACGATTATTTTGGTCAATAATTGATATCACGATAATTAAATACGATTATTCATTGACTTTGAAAACATCCATTTATTGAACTTTAAAACAAATACAAATAATAATTTGAACAGTATCTTTTTAACTGTTGATTACCCTGAACGTATAATTCAACTGAAAAACCAATACAAAAATAAATAAAATAAATGATACATTTATATTTACATTTAAATAAATAATATCAAAATAATAAATACCAATAAACAAGATCAACAAATATTTTGGAGCGCACTTCCACAAGCTACTAAACATATATAAATATGATAAATAAAAATAAATTAGACTAAAATTAATTAGATCAAGTATGTTCTAGTGCACTGTCACAACCTAGCAAAGCAAAATAATCGTTTTTTTCGATTATGTTGTTTTCGTAATTGTGGCAGGCCAAAATCGTAATTGTGATTAAAATACGATTAATTGCACAGCCCTACTTAAGTACCTCAAATGTGTATTTTTGTATTTAAATCTCCACTACAATTATTTGACAGCTTTAGTTACTTGCCACATTACATATATATTAAAGTGGACCTATCATGCTATATTTGAATAATATAGTGTAGGACCATACCTAAGGCATATTTATACTTTTTTTTTTTCAAAATACCAAACAGATCATGCATTTTAGCCATGCCTCATTTTGCTCAATTTGACAATTTATAGCTCTGTTTGTGCAAGGGCAGATTCAGTGAGAACAGCACCATCTACAGGCCTGGCATATGTACTACAGCGTCTCCAGCGCTTTCGAACGGCAATGGCCGTGGCTGTCTCCTCCTGATTGGTGGAGTTGGCCCAATAGCCGTAGCGCCACCGTCCTGACGTCAGGACAGTGTTCAAATCTGGATCAGTTTTGATCAGATCCGTTGCAGCCCCTTTTTTAGAGATTTGGGTATGGAGGAAAATAGAGAGGGTTGTGTTTTCTGACACTTGGTGAGTTCCCTGGAACACCGGGGACACATATTCATGTATAAAAGACGTACAAAAGTGCATTTTGCATGATAGGTCCCCTTTAAGAGTTTATAAAAATGTTTTATTATAAATTAATCAAATAGACGATTGATAGTATGATTAATTTACATAATCATTTTATATTAAAAACGTTTTTTTTATTGAGCCTTTGATCAAGATTCTCAAATGTAAAGATGTGACCCTTTTTTAAATTATTTTAGTCATTTCTATTTATTGTTCATACTAAAGCTGTTACTTTGGGCCCTGGGTAATTGTAAAACACATTTGTATTATTTTCTTAATTTTCTATATTCTTTATTTGGAGTCCAATAATATTAATGTTACATTTTACTTGCTTTTTTTTCTCATTTTTACTAACCAAACCAAGTCTATATATGGAGATAATAATCATCAGATTAATCCATAATAATAATAAAAAAATGATTGGAGTTTGAGTCATAAAACAAACTTTTGGCGAAACTCAAGACTTCATACGCTTGTTATGAACATTTGATAAATAATCCTAAAATAATCAAATAATGTGATGACTCAACTAGTTGTCGGAGACATTTTTTACTTTTAGTTCTTTATATTTAGGTACATTTTCATGATAATACTTCTGTAATTGAACTGAAGTAACATTCTCAGTGCATGGCTATTATTTGTATCTGAGCATTTTTACAGTTAGTCCTTATAGTTAGGCCAATGATCTGAATTCTTCCCCAGCCCTGAGTGTTAGCATCTTAATGACGGTGATGATAATGCTGAAACATTACATGAAACACATGCTGCACTTGTCCAGAGGAGGTTGTTTAGGAAGTGCAGCTCATTACAGCGAGGACGGCGTGCACATGGTTAGAAGGGACTATTTTTGTCTGTCAGGCTGTAACATGAAGCGCCGACCCCACGTCAGATGTATAAATAACCGATTTTTCACCGACTCAGTGTCTGTTTACATTTATTGGTGTTGCACGCCGGAAGACAAAGTGTCCATGAAGTGCGTCCTCATCATTTGTAATCCTTAAACCAGGTGGGCATCCGGGTCAGCTGCTCTTTAAAGTGTATGACTTGACATATGTTACGTGCCACATCCCGGACTAACTGTGTCCTCCTCTGCGTTTGTTGCTCTTCTGCAGCCTGACCTGCGACTGGCAATGGACTACACGAACAACTCCTCCAACAGCTACACCTCCGGAGACACCATGAGCTCCTCCTTAGCCAACATGACCATCAGCGACCAGCACCACCAGGAGAACGGCATCATGAAAGGTCAGACATAAGTCAAATGTATTTATATGTCTCAATATCGCAAGGGTTTACAGTCTGTGCCGAAACAACCCTGTGTTCTTACAGGCTTGCTTTTAAGTGTGGCTCTTCCCCAGGTGTTTTGTTCTTTTTGAACATTAGGTTTATCATTTACAATTGCACATGGTACGTTTTTACCTTGGATATCACAAAAAATAAAAAAATAACAAGGAGCAGGCTTTTAATTGAGATGAAATGATATAAATGTTATTATATACACACTCGTATGTTTTATCAAGTCAGCTAAAATGTTCAATATGTACATAGTCCACTTGACAACCTTCCATAATATATATTTGACTTATTTTGTTTATCCATTCCTGACCGTATACTATTTAAAAAAAATTCATGAAGATGATTAAGAGGGATACTCAGATCGGCAATAAATGTCACTTGTACATAATAGAATACACCTGCACAGTCAACAATGAAATACTTCCTAATTTAAAGCACTGAACACACATGAATGGGTGTTCAGACTGCCCATCACAAGGTAAACAGCAGAAATGCAGGGTTCATGAAACACGGTAAACCACAGAAAATGTTAGTCTGCACCCATTTGATTGGCCAGTGCTGCAGCTCGCCAGACACTGTGTTATTCTGCAGGAGCCTCATCAAATCATTACCCCCATTCAAATGAATTAGCAGCTGAGCTATTTCACACACTGTTGTTGTCTGTCTGACCATAATGACTAATCCGGATGACAGCATTCATATTATCTTCTCACCATTAAGTCATGGGTCAGCTCCGATGTTCTGGCATCTAACACACCAGCTTCACTCCGTCAGTGAGCTGTTAAAAATACATAACATGGTTTATTGATTATATCAGTTGAAACACATTTACTAATATTGAACATGTGCGCTTTAGCATATATTAGCTTAAAAGAACAAGCTCTACAAAGATTATAATAACTGCTTCAATATAGTTTATTTATGTGCATTGACACCAATGAATAATGCATTGTTCTTAATAGATAATAATAATTACTGTCTAAGTAAATATGTCATTGTATGAATTAAAGAGAAGTTCTGGATTGTTTTTAAGCACATGTATAAATTAACATGTTAAATAATCTACTATGCCTACATAAAATTAAGCCATGTAGTTTTTATTAACACCATAAACATATTACGAAAAATCACTTCAAACTGTCTTCATATGTGCTTATAGCTACATTATAGTGTGTTATAAACCAATAATGACATGTTTAGTATCTGCCGATAGTTCCATGTTTCTAATCTTGAGAACAAGCTGACTTGTGGGTAATCTTTGTGGCCCACAAGTTGGAGTTTAACTCAACCTTTTGGCGCTTTAATCCCAGAGCATATTCTTAAAAGTTCCCAAAGAGAGGGATTTAAAAAGATTGAAATCTCCGAGCTGTTTCTTAAAGTCTCTGTGATCGGTACCGATTTGGGGCCGAGGCCGAGCCCCGCAGTTTCAACTGTGCTTTGTTTAATCCCACTTTTACATAATGGATACAAGACATGCTAGAGTGCCGACTGCAGCTGCACTGTGCCCTGTAATCCAGGCATCTGGGTCAGAACGAGCTCCTGTGGCACTGTACGCTACCAATTCAGTCCACAAACAATCAGGCCTTCAATGCTGCACAGAAAAAGGCACATGTTATGACTGAAAGGGTAAATAATGTCAAATGTTTCAGTTGCACAGTTATAGAATAAATAATGACTGTCCTGGCACATTGTTCAGTAGCTAATAATCAGTTTCAGTTTCCTCTTTCTCATCCCTTATATCCACCGTATGGCCAATTAGTGCGTAGCCTAGCTTTCCCCAGTTTACAGCCCTCATTAGTGCATACGTTCTCCCTGTTTCCACTTTCCATCTTCTCACATGCAAACAGGAAGCAGCAGCACACACAGTCTGTCAATGGTGAAACACAGAGTGAGTATCATCAATCTGTTAGAGCGGAAACGTAGTTGGAAAGTGCGGTGCTTGTAGGATAAAGGTAGTTGAGTGGTTATAGTTGGTAGATGATGTGTAGAGCGGTACATTGTAATAATGATGGCTTCAAAATGTTTTTCCTTTAATAAGTAATCAACTTAAAATGGGATGTTGTTAGTTTGAAAAGTTGATTTTCTCCAAAGTTAAAGTGGCTATGATTGATATCTTAAGAATAGATATATAAAAAAGTGGAAGGTGCTATTTGTATTTGAAATAATTATCAATGTTCAGCCAACGATCAGCTTAATCTGCAACTCCCCCTCATGGAGCATTCTCATGAGTTTCAATGTATTCTTTTTCTGTCCAGCCCACAATTGTATGTGTTGGTTTACTCTCCATGCTTTCAGAGCATACATTTCAACATATAGCTTTTTTTCCTATAATTGTGGCCATTCAAATATAGAAATAATCTAGATGTAATACACAAAAAAGACATTTACTACAAATGTTATTTTTCTAACTCTTATGCAGTCTTTAAGTCCAATAGTATGATACATTCATGACAAATTGATCGTCCAAGCTCATTATAAATTGATTTAAGTTACTTTAAAGACTGTGTGGATACACTAGTTTAAATAAATGTCAGGATTTCTGTCTTTGAATATTGTCTAATGGGTTCAAAATTGTGCTTCTGTGAATATGGCTGAGGGAAATTAAGAAAGAAAGTGGTTTATTTCAGAGTTTCTTGTGCATGTTTATAATGTACTAACAGATTGAATCTTCCCCAACATACCATTTTATTATTTAGGATGTAAGCATTTGGTAATTTTTGACTTTGAGACCTGTTTCATTGTGTTTTTATGGTTTGTTCTTGTCTTATTTCCTCATTTACAGGGAGTCAGGATTTAACAGCTAAATAACAGTGACTGTTGCAAAGGTGTTAACCATTTTAATTCAATTTCACAGCTCAAAACAAGTGTCTCAAGTGAATGTCTTTCATGATGAACCTCCAGCCTGACCTTCAGTTAACCTTTATTCCTCAGAGCCTGAAGCAGCTGTCAGTGAAAACGGGGCTAAACCTGTGTCTGAGCTCTGTGACGACAAGGTGCACCCTGGTACGTCCGCCTGCGCGCCTCATGTCTGACGCTTGGACTTTATTGACTCAACTTAACCTTCATTAAGCACGTTTCAGTTTGGATGCAGTTTTTCCATTTCATTTCTCTTTTTTTATCAATAACTTTTCCTTTTGTCAGAGATATAATCCGAGAAATGTTAATCTCAGTTTCTTGGTTTTCTCCCACCTTTACACTTTTCATTTTTTCAGCTCGTCTTGGTTTGAATCTACATATTTCTGCTTGTTTTCTTATTTATTGTGCCTTAAACCTGCTTTTCTTGATTTGTATGTATTGCCCATTTATTCAAATAGTTTTCTGTTAATAGATTTTTAGTACACTGAATTGTAATGGAATAAAAGTGGAAAGTGGTACCTCAAGTTTGTACTTAAGGACAGTACTTAAGTAAATGCACTTCACGTTACATTCATACTACTGCATGTACAGTAGCTGTGTTCTCAGTGCAAACACAGTGCGACAAACTACACAGGGAACAACATCTCTTCCCTAGCCACACATAGGTGACTAACATGGGAAGTCATGTCTCTCTATGCCTGTGAGAATTAGCCACAGTAGCTCCACTTCAGCCTGGGTGGAGCATGCTTTGATCATAAATAGTGAGAGTGACAACGAGTCCTAAGATGTAGTGGAAAGCAGGGTCATCGGGTGGAAATACTCCTTGATCTGTTGAACAGCTCCTGGCTGTGAACGTGATAAATACCACAGCATGAGGTCAGGAGGTGTCGTTTCAGAGCTAATTCAGCTTTAATAAACCAGAGGAAAGTCTGTCAAATTAGAGAGATGTTTAGGGATGAGCTATTCCTATTTTTCTGACTGACTGACATCCATTTATCCTGCAGTGGAGACGTCAGAGAAGGCCGGTGTTGAAGCGGCAGGGCCTGAGCTCTCAGAAACAGAGAGCACTTCATGTGGAGGCGAGGGGCAGCTTGGTACGCCTCCGGTCGTTCAGCTCCTGCCTCTTTCAGCCGCTTGCGCTTTTAGTTGTTTTCCTAGTTTGACATTTTGGGAAATATATTCTCATTCTTGCATGAGAAGATTGATACCACTATCGGGTCTGTATGATTCAACAAAGGAAGCTACAGCCAGCAGCCGGTTAGCTTAACGTCGATTAGCTTAGCCTAGCTTAGCTTGAAGACAGGAAACGGGGGAACTGCTTGCACAAATCTGTCCAAAAGTAACACAATCCTTCTTCTAGCACCACTTTTATTTTATTTTATTTATTCATGTATTTAACAGGGACAGTGCACATGAATGAACATTTCTGTAAATGTGCCAGAGTTAGCCAAGAGGCTATTTTTCATCTGTAGTCCCTGGACAGATTTTAAAAGTCAACCTAAAACACATTTCATTTTAAACAAGTAAATACAATAAATTTAAAACATGCAACACACATTACTGGAATACTTAAATAAAACAATTTAAAAGACAGAACAATAAAACAAAACAAATAAAACAGAACAATAGAGCATGTTAAAACACAGGCAGTGGGTTTTAAGGAGCAGATGATTGCTCTGACACTAAAGCTCACTGGCTAACATTGTTAGGCAACTTAAGATATGTTTTCAATGAATCGTACATAAAACATCAGAAAACACTGAAGTGTCCCATGTCAAAAAGGAAATGCTTTAAATATCTTGTTTTATCTGTGTACTTTAAACAAACCAACCTGAAATGTAACCTATCATGCAGGGTTTATTATTAGAAAGCTTTATTTAGGCTAGCTTTTTGCCCGTGCTTCCAGTCACTGTGCTAAGCTAACCCGCTGCTGTAGCTTCATGTTGAACATGCAGAAGTGAGAGTGGTATCAATTTTCTCATCTAACTCTAAGCAAGTTTGGGAATTTCCCAAAATGTGGAACTATTTCTTTAATTGTTATGACCCGAAGCTGCTCTTTTGTTTGTACTGATTTAAATGTGGCTTACTATCTTTTTCTTTCAGCATCATGAATGGAAAAGAGTGCTGTCTTTGTATTTTTGGTTTATCCTTTGGCTTATTTCTCCTTCATGCTTGCTGTAATGGTTGATGATTTGCTCCTTTTTAGAACTACACATGATCATAAACGGACATAAAAGATGGTTACATGCTGGCTATTTCAGAATGGTGGGAATGCGCCAAACCTCAAGGCAGATTTAAGCCTCCTGTGATCTGTTAAACAGATGCAACAGAATGATGTTAAAAACAGCTGAAGCACCACATGGAGCAGGCCCTTTGGTGCGGTTCTGCTGCACAACGTCACACTCACATAAACACTGTTTGCATATTAATCTCTTTGTTTTTCAATGATAAATGTAACCTTGATTTGCTCTGGGCTTTCTGCATTAACTGAAGACATGCTGTATGTGGGCTTTGTGTTGATTTATTTGCAGTGAGGGAGTGTATTGATGACTTCAAATGACAGAAAGTCATTACTAATATATGTTTCCATTTGTCTCATCATGTTCAGCAGCAGCAGCAGGAGGAGGAGCAGCTTCAACAGGTAGGCTGTTAAGTATTTGATTGATCGCACTTGGGCTGTATTTAATTACTGCAGCTGATGGATATGAATACAGTTAGGACTCCAGGACTGTTTTATGTGTGATACCTGACAGGGTTTAATTGGTACTTACTAGGGCTGTCAAGTTAACGCGTTAATAACGCGTTAACGCACACAAAAATTAACGTCACTAATTATTTTAACGCGATTAACGCATGTGTATTTTTTGTCCTTGCCCGCCCCGCCCCGTAGTTTCAGAGCGCATCGAGTTTAAAATACCATCTACAAGCTGATGCTTACAGCCCCGCTCCTGCCGCCCGCTTGTGGCAGACCACACTTCCACGCTCACCGGCAGGCCCGGACTGGCCATCGGGAGGACCGGGAGGGTGTGTGTATGTGTGGGGCGAGCGAGGCACACCTTACGTGTTGTTGTTGTTGTTAGCATCTGGTGCTAGCTAGCTGCGCTAACGGATATAAGGAGCTGTTTCAATGAAAACAGAGGAGCGACATTTCGCCGACAACTGCGCCGAGCACTTGACTTTATGCAGGTAGCCAGACAGTGGGACATTGTACGAAAAGTCAGCACACTCAGCACGGATAGCAACATGATTGCAGCGTCCAGGCAGCTCCCGTTCGAGCATATATGCCTTGAGCTGCACATAGCTCCAACGATCCATCACAGTACATTCACACACACACACACACACACACACACACACACACACACACACACACACACACACACACAGTATTATTGTATGAGAGCGGTTCCAGGTTGAATTGAGGTGAATATTTGTAATGTTCAGGTTGTTGTGTTTAATATTCATGAGAATATTTGTCATTGTTCAAATGATAATAAACAAACATATAAAGCATATTTGTCCACTCATATGTTGATAAGAGTATTAAAAACTTGAAAAATATCCCTCTAAGGTACATTTAGAACAGAAAAAAAATGTGCGGTTAATTTGCGATTAATCGCGATTAACTATTTTAATCGACTGACAGCCCTAGTACTTACTAATAAATTAAACCATAGAAAAGGGTCATTTTAGATGCATTTTATGTGTAGTTATTAAAGTAAAAGCATTATCATTACACTTGCCAACATTTATTGTACAATTTACTCAAACTGCACTATTTGATTTTACATGTCTGATCTATTATTTGTATAAAAACGCAAAAGCAAAGCAACATTTTACATAACAATTAAATAAAATATTTAAGCTTTAAAAAAAGACTTTTACTTACACATCTGTCACATAGCAAAAAGCATCTTCAACATGTTTTAGATTATATTGTGATTTAAAATGTAAAGTTTAGTCAAAGTCAAAGGCAAAATGATTAAACATAATAAATTATTTGCAAATGTAATTATATTTGTAATGCATGCACATTCATTATAAATGAATGTATTAATTTATTACTTATACATTCTATTATTTTATACTATTTTATTTTTATAATAATTCTTATTTACACTGTAAACGTCTATATTTGTTGCAGTGCCACAATCCAGACTGCATACACTTTATATAGCTCTATAATTGTTGTATTTAATTATTATTATCAAAAGGAATATGTTAGTAGTCTGTTGTTCATCCTGTTCACTTGAATGCATCATGTGTTGTCTGTCAGCCTGATGTGATGCATTAATGTCCATTTCCATCTCATTTTATTTTCATGTGAAGGTTCTTTTTCCACCATTGATCACATCTCACCTTTTTATAGCTCTCTGTTCTTCTGTTTATGGAAATATCCAAATAGACTTTTTTTTACTTTGGTCATGGACGGCATTTGTCCAGTTCTGTCCCATCTTTAATTATATATTTTGTTTCAATGGGGAGATGGAAAACAAGTGCTGTGAATGTCATCATTAATCTCCTTTCCAAACAAATTAGCAAAGCCTGCTTCTGGAGACTGCAGTGACTTTGTGTTTGCGGGCGATGGAGCCACTAGGGAGGGCATTGACTCCATGGGAGCTTCCTGCCCCATGGACCCAGGAAATGAGGCGGTGGAGGAGTGTGGGAAGAGGCTAAGTGAGTCTTTATGGGTCTCTGAAGACCTCAGCCACGGGTCGGAGATAAGACGGGACGACATGGCGAGCCCTGCAGCCGTGGACTCTCAAAGGGCGATCAGCCTGGACGCCTCCGAGTGCCTGAGTGAAACCAGCAATCTGCCCGGGATGTCTTTGATTCGGAGCGCTGCTTTGGAAGACCTGACGTCCATTGGGGACAAAGAGTTGTTGGCCAACCAAGGAGAGACAGACAGCTCTGAAAAAGATGAAGCCGTTTTAACATTCGAAAGCATGCCAGCAGAAACACAACAAGCTCAAAGTCTGTCACACTCTGACTCTCCTTCAGAAGATCTTAATGGCAGCAGGAACATTTCTGACACGGACAGCCTTTTAACCAAAATGCCATCCGATACGGCGACTGAAAACAGCAGCAGTGACTCATGGTTACACAGAGCCGGCTATTCAAAGCCTGACATTTCTAATGACTCAGACATAATGACCACTGGTACCGCTGAGCTCCGCCAAACTCCCCCCCAAAGCTCTCTGGGCAGAAAGTCTATGGTGCCGGTCCCTATCTTCAAAGGTCTGTTTGCTGTCATAATCACCAGAGCCCTCCTCAGTTAACTCCTTCCACTTCTTTCTTTTACAACGCAGCTTCTACCGTATGCCATGCTGCACTCTCCCTAAGACTTTTTCTATTGGAACGTAAACTATTTAACTAGAGGAGAAGCTTGTTGTCCTCCCTCCCCACTTTTTCTTTCATGGCTCCATCTTTGCTCACTCTGCTGGTTATGCGTTCCCCAATAAAATCCACTTTTTTGGTTTCCACAAGCACTTTGTGTCACCATGCATGCTGCATATCACCGACATTTGGTTTAGTTTTCTGTCTAATTTGAATGTGTTTACGCACACACTTTTCTTAATTGAGTTCACCTGGGTGGAAAGACATAAAAGATAATAAACTTGTTATCTAAAGTCTGCCACTCTCTCTTCTGTCTATAGCTCAAGCAAAGATCGATAACGGCTCTGCAGATAAGGTATGTGACCAAGAATCATCATTTCTTTTATTTTGGGGAATATTCTGGTTTCTTACAAATTGGATCATATTTTGCAGCTCTGTCCATCTCTTCTCTGTTACTGTGCCATGTATTCAGAAACATGGCAACACTGGAGAAAGAATCATTCGGTTAGATTGTAAATGGATCTCCAGGTGAGAAAATCTTGCGAGAACTCTTGCCTGACAACCTTTCCTACACAAGGCAGGGTTCTTACGGTCATTCAAAACCTGGAAAAGTCATGGAAATTCAAAATGCTAATTCCAGGCCCTGGAAAGGTTATGGAAAACAATATCTTTCCCAAAGTTTTGGAAAAGTCATGGAAATGTAACTAAAGTTGCATCAAATATCATTTATATTTTATCTAATCGCCGAAATAGTAATACTATAATGATAATAAATACTGTATCGTATAGTAATGAAACGTAAAATGGCATTTAACTGTCGAGGTATTTTGCTGGTGAGAGATTTGAGTTGCTTTAGCGTGTAGAAGCTAGTAAGCCTACTATTTGATTTGTTTTAGATAGGCACAACATGTTTCATATGCAGACCTTATTTTCCTGTTCCATGTTCAAATAAACCATTTTCAGTGGTACCGCTGAGAGAGTCATTTTTTTAGTCATGGAAAATTAGGTAAAGGTCATGGAGAAGTCATGGAAAAGTCATTGGTGAAAAAGTGTATGAACCCTGACAAGGTCAATGCCTTACCTCAACCATCTTGCGAGAGTTCCACAAATCGAGGGTTACAATCTGGAAAAGACTGTATCATAATAACAAAAGCTCTGCGTCTTCCTTAGAGGGTAGGATGGATGCTTCTACAAAAGTCCTACCCTGGTGTTTATTGCAGTCAAAGTTTATTTTAACCATGACTACAATCCTTCTCTAATCGAAAACTTGACCAAAACCAATTTGGACCACTGACATGGTATTGGCTTTAAAATATAATATATTGCACTTGTTAGCTTTTTGATTAAACATCCATCAGTTACAGAACAATATTATCACACATTTTCAGTCAAGTTTGTTTGTTTTGTTTGAGTCCAATATTCTCTCTCTTTTTGCTCTTGTTTTTGGTCTCCACCAACAACGTTTGTTCACCATTAAATGTTTGTGTTTGCTATTTCCAGCGGAGTACAGTATATATATTTGTTGTATTTAATTCAGCTGCCTCATTGCAACTATGCTGAAGTTGTTGTCCCCAAAACCAAATACAAAAGTACCTTAAAATGCTTACAATAATTTGCTGTTAAAGTATTATATATGTTTTTAACTGTGATTTGAATGTGTTGGAAGCATTGGATTAAAGAATAGCATTTATTTTTATCATATAGTTTGGAGCATTTGTTTCACTGTCAGACTTACATTTGTTGGTACACTGAGCGTGCCCCCAGATCTATGCCATTTGTACAACTGACAACTGATGCCATTTTGTTTGTGAAATACATTCATTCCTTTCTGTCATTTTTCATTTGTTCACTCGTTCTTCTTTTATGTTCATTGTCATTAGAACTTTTGATTTTTTTATTCCTTTTTCCTTTCCTCCTCGTCACAAAGACCCCAACTGCTATCAAACCAACCTCTTCCCCTAAAAGACCATCCCCAGTCAACAAAACAAACTCTCCCTCCGGAAACGGCCCCAGCTCCATCCCCATTAAAACCAGCAGCCCGGGGCCCCGGCAGCCCGGAGTAAGTACACCTCTGAATGCTGCTGAGCGTTTGGAGCTGAGCGGGGGTCAGGTGGTCAAAGATGGCTGCTCATTATCCTTGTCTGGTTTGAGAAGGCACCCTAACATTCATTTGTTTGATAGTGAATCATCCTTTACACCAATTTTGACATTCATTTTTTATGATTATTGTCTCCAAACATGTTTTGATTACTTGCACTTGAATAAAAGCAGCTTTCTTGATGTTAAAGCAGCGTCTCTTCTCTGTTCTTCAGGCTCCCGGTCTTGCAAAGTCTCAAACCCAAGGAGTGAAATCAGCAGCTCAAGCAGGTACAGAACCAACACTTCTCATTTGTATTCTTTTCATTTTCATTTGTTATTTTATAAGGTGTTAGATTTAAGAATTACTTTTGATTTGTCATATTTTTTGTGATACAGCTAGTGCCAAGAAACCTCCCACTCCAAAAAATCTAAAAGGTAAAAAAAAAAAAAAAAAAAAGCAATCACTTTTAGCGTCCTTTAGGCACACTGCCACAGTCTGATCCGGTCCTGGATCAAACTTGGTCAGCTTTTAGTCCCCAGAGCTCCTAGTCTGATTATATTTGTATTTATTCTTTCACTTCCATCCTCTACTGAGGACTTTTCCAAACCTCTGACTCATTGCTTCTCTGATTGCTCAAGATGGGAGTGGCCATAGCAGCCCCGGCACTAAATCTCCCTCTAGCCAACTCTCTGCGAAGGCTGCGGCGGAGGCCAACAAAGTGAAGAAAGTGGCGGTGGTGCGTTCTACGCCCAAATCCCCGGGCTCGCTGAAGAGCCGCCCCCCCGTCCCTCTGGCTGCAGCGGCTCCAATGCCCGACCTGAAGAATGTCAGGTCCAAGGTCGGCTCCACAGACAACCTGAAGCACCAGCCTGGGGGGGGAAAGGTAACTGAACTTACACTGATGTTACACTGAGTGCACATCATAGTGCATGCAGATTTAAGAGTCCACTGTGATCTGCAGATCGGAGGTTTAGATAACGCTTTGGAGGTAGAACTTATCTGTTTGGAAGGTTCAAACCTCATGAGGACATCCAGGGAAATGTGCACTGAGTCGTTCTTGAGGTTTTCTTGATAAAAGAAAGAAATACCTGTATATTAAGCTGAAATGTAAACGTAAAGGTACTGTTTGAGGTCCAAAATTCTTTTTTAGTGTAATTCCATCTTTTAAAACATTGACAATGCATTTATTTATTTATTTTCCTTTAAAACATCCGAGGAATTACGTTTTCCGGTTGTCCGTCTAATACCTATAAACACGATATGTCAGGAACGCAGGGTGGGAATTTCTTAAAATTTGGCAAAATAATTCCAATGAAACTGTTAAAGATTAAAATGTGGATGTGGCTTGCATCTTGACCTGTTGGGGTAGGCATACAGACCTTTTTTGTAGAACAAGAAAATACCTTGTTTTAAAAAAAAAATCTTTGTAAATACTAAAGTCGTCAAATCTGGCTCCACCCACTAAGATTTGAATCAGCCAATCAGCGTTCTTCTGCTTCCAGAGTCTCTGATAAATGTTTTTGGAATGAAAACTCCAATCTCCCTTTTGATGTCCTGTCTGATCAACACAATGTACTTGTCTATGTGTGTGTATGTGTTGAATGTGTGTGTGTGTTTGTGTGTGTGGTCCGTTTTAGCACTGCAAAGTCTTTGTTCTATTTCAGTGTAGGCTATGGTCACATGTCTAATATTCTATCTATCTATCAATCTAATCCATCTGCTAAAATTGAAAGGATTTTGTGATGTATATTTAGGAACCAAAATGAAATTAAAAAGTCTTATCTCACTGACATTTAAATGGTAGATCAAATAAACGGAAGAGAGGATGTCACTTATTGTTTACTGAAGGAATGAGAGGAAGGTTTTCCGAAGCCTCTCTCTGAAGTAGTATCACCTGAAGCTGCATGTTACACAAAGCAACACGACGGTTAACAGCATGGTCAACACCTCTCTCAGTCCTACTCTCACAGCACATGTTTCAAACCCAAAAATCTAAAAGCTGACATTTTCATTCTTCCAGGTACAAATCCTTGAACAGAAGTTGGATTTTAGTAGTGTCCAGTCTAAGTGTGGCTCCAAAGGCAATTTGAAACATGTACCCGGTGGCGGCAATGTGAGTAACTGAGGGATGAACTCAACACCTGACTCTTGAGTATCTCTGCAGTTATGATCATCAAAAAACAGCTTTTGGTAAAAGAAGGAAGTGCTCTCTTTTTTTTGTGCCCTCCATTTTGTAATAGAAGATGGACTTCTGAATCTTCTGAATCTGCTCAATTAGACACTGAAATATGTTTTTAGTTCACTAAAAGATCAAGGTGCATTTAACCAAAAGTCCACTGCTTTAATGTGTTAAAGTTGGCATCTGTAACAATATGGTCATTTTGTAGACTCACGTATTACTTTGATGTTTATCTATCCCTATTTAATAACATGCACTTAGTATATTAGAATCCCCCCAGTAGTATCTGCAGTCAATGTGATATGTGACATACTAAGTTATGGATGGCAGCTTTAATGAAATGATCAAAAACCTGCTTTAATCTCCATCTCTTCAACATCTTATTTCTTCCATGTTGGGCTGATCCCCTCCTGCAGTTATTCTCAATTGAATTAAGGACTTGTATTTCTTCTTCTCACACCTTCGCAGGTCCAAATCCTTGACAAGAAGCTGGAGTTACCTAATGTTTCATCTCGCTGTGGATCTAAGGACAACATAAAGCACACCCCTGGAGGAGGCAAGGTGAGGAAGCCTGGGTTTCACTTGGAAAGCATTTCCTTATTTCCTTCTGAGCTGAAATAAATAATACCACACATTGAGGAAACGTTAATTAAAAAAATACAACAAGTCAGTCTCTTTGAAAAGCATATATATGCTATGTATATGTATATGCTATACAGATACATTATGTTTCTGTGTTCTGACCGTTTGATGAAGTAAAAGAAAATATTGATAATACAACTTTAATTAAATGGGACTTTGTAGTTTTTATTGTAATCATTTGCCTTACTTCTATTTGGGGATATATTGTTTCAATCATTTGGTGTTTTGGGTGATGTGGCATGACTTGTTATAATACTCATGCCAGTTCTGCAGTCATAAGTAGTGTCTATTTTTCTACTGTTTTCAAGCTGATTGATGGACGTTTACTCAATCAAGTTAAAGTACTAAGGGTTCTCCTAATAGAGTGCTTATTCAAATGTAAAACCTTTAATCTTTTACCCGTGCACATGCCAAAAAACCATGTATGGACATGTTTGCCCATGAAGACACCCAATGAAGAAGGATCAGTACAGTGTGGATTATTTTTGTTTTTGTTTTGCCCCTTTAAAGGCCAACTTGCATCTCTCATTTCTCCCCTTTCCACTCTGGCTCTCAGTCTGGATTAGCATTGAAAGCACTACAATACTATAGGAAGGGCTCTATTTTTCAAATACATGAGAAAGAAGATGGACTTTCAGCTCTCCACCTGTTCTCTCCTCCAGGATAACCGTCTTTCATATCAACTTTCCAGGTTCAAATTCTTGAAAAGAAGCTGGACTTAAGCAGTGTGCAGTCCCGGTGCGGCTCCAAAGATAATATGAAACATGTAGCGGGTGGAGGCAATGTGAGTAGATCGGGGGGGTGGCCCCTGGCAGACTGCAAGGGCCCAAAACCCTTCCTGTAACTCAGACTGCATCTTCACTGAGGAGGGTCTCAGCGTGCACAGAGCCTCCTGTGTGTCCCCTCTGACCTCCATGTGATCCAACACTGCTAACCCCTATTAACAGTTGTATCATGAATACACAGCCATGAGCGGTGGTGACTACAGGAGACCTGAGCCTTGGTACATTTCCCTAAGTGCAGTGCTATAGTACACAATATATCTCTGTATGTATTTGATGCCGTTTTTATATTGTACTTTTTACTTTCCTACAATTATATTTATATTAATAGCTATATTTGCAAAATATATTAAGAATAGTTATAGATTAAATCAACCAACAGTTTATACAATTAGATTTGCAAATATTCAGTTGACAGACATTTGTAATGCCTTTTTCATGGTTCTCAGTAGAGATGATTAGTAACTTAAAGTGGACCTATCATGCTATATTTGAATAATATAGTGTAGGACCATACCTATATAAGGCATATTTATACTTTAAAAAAAAAAAAAATACCAAACAGATCATGCATTTTAGCCATGCCTCATTTCGCTCAATTTGCACTTTTGTAGCTCTGTTTTAGCAAGGGCTGATTCAGTGAGAACAGCACCACCTACAGGCCTGGCATATGTACTACAGCGTCTCCAGCGCTTTCGAACGGCAATGGCCGTGGCTGTCTCCTCCTGATTGGTGGAGTTGGCCCAATAGCCGTAGCGCCACCGTCCTGACGTCAGGACAGTGTTCAAATCTGGATCAGTTTGTATCAGATCCGTTGCAGCCCCTTTTTTAGAGATTTGGGTATGGAGGAAAATAGAGAGGGTTATGTTTTCTGACACTTGGTGAGTTCCCTGGAACACCGGGGACACATATTCATGTATACAAGACGTACAAAAGTGCATTTTGCATGATAGGTCCCCTTTAAGTTGTAATTTGACCAAATAAATTGAGGACAGGTATCACCGGACTACTTTGATCCTGAGGAACTCTTAAAATATGAAGATTCTCAGGCACGTTCTGCACTTATAAGAAGTTTTCGAAAAAATGTTCGACAATTTGTGGACGTTTATTCCCATTTGCCATGAGATATACTGATATACTCCTAAGGGTTAAGTAACAAGGATCAGTTCAACGAGAAATGGTTGAGTAAAATTCCCATTTCATAAATGTTATAATTGACCCGTGTCGGCATGTGCACAGTAAAGCGTATGAATGTGCCTGCCCGTGAAGACACCAAATGCAGTATGATAGGATTGTGTGCATTCTTTGATTATTTTACATTTTTGGATATGCCCCTTTGAAGCACTGCAACGTTTATCTTTTTATTTCTTAATCATTTGTTATCACACCTAACTTTGGGTAAAGATTTCCATTTAAAACACATGAAAAGAAGATGGACCTCTGAATGAGTAAAGCTCAGTAAGACAGTCACCTCTGCACTAAAGTGACCCCCCCCCCCCCCCCTCATCACTGAGCCCTGGTTCCCCCTCTCTCTAGATCTCCACCTGTTCTCTCCTCCAGGATAACCGTCTTTCATATCAACTTTCCAGGTTCAAATTCTTGAAAAGAAGCTGGACTTAAGCAGTGTGCAGTCCCGGTGCGGCTCCAAAGATAATATAAAACATGTAGCGGGTGGAGGCAATGTGAGTAGATCGGGGGGGTGGCCCCTGGCAGACTGAGGGGCCACACCCTTCCTTCACTGAGGAGGATGTCCGCATGACGAAGCCTCCTGTGTGTTCCCTCTGACCTCCATATGATCCAACACGGCTAACCTCCTCCTATTAACAGCTTTATCATTAATACACAGGCATGAGCATTAGAGTGGACCTGACCCTAGATCAGTGGGGTAACAATAGTTACTTATGTTTTCCACTTTCCTGCATTCATAAACCAGCTCTAGTTACTTTACACAATGTTGTTTACATATAAAACATACGAGAGTTTTTTCAAATATGATGCAAAGGTTTTTACAATGAAAGAAAAAATGATTTGTCAATTGAAATAAAAAATGTAATATTTGAATTACTGATTAAATTACTTAAAACTCCTTTTTTCATTGTTCCAGCCTTTTAAAAGGGACCTTTATCTATTTTTATTTATTTATTTTTTAATGACAATTGAATATAAAAAGGTCAGGCTACGGCATTTGTTTTATATAAAAATGCACCTCAATTAAAACAGTGAAAATCAATTTACACGAGCACATGAGTAATAATAATATGATTTTAAAGAGGAAAGTTATTTTATTTAACACTTATATTAATTTACATTTTTATTATAATTGAATTCACATTTGTACTTATTTAAATGTTTGATACTTACATTCTTTGACTTTAATGAGATGTTTTTTCTACAGTATGGGATTAGTACTTTGACTTCCTCCACCATAGATGTATTTAACCACCGGTCTGCTCTGAATCTCAGATCTGAACTAGTTCTGATGAATGTGAGATTCTTTGGCGTAGTGCTCTGTGGCAGCTCTCAGCGTTATGTAATGCTCATGCTCCTCTGTAAGCTGATAACTGTTGAACCTTTGACTGTGATCAGAACGTGTTACCAACCCAAACCGGCCCCTCGACGAACATGCATGAACCCGTGTGTTTCTGTTGTTCTTCACCTTAATCCCATGTGTTTTTAGCAAATGCACAGAAAAGTGATGATGATCTTAATCCCCTTGTGGCACTAATTGTGACACCGAGGAGAAGGAGTCGTAACAAAGAGTCCCTGTCCTCTCTGTGCCTGCTGTGGTGCGCTCTGATGACCTCAGAGCAGAGACTGAGCGCTTTGTGGATCCAGACAATCGGCCATGACAGGAGGGATGAGACTCTGTGATGAAATATGGCTACATCATGAGCAGTGCATGTGAAAGAATGCAGAATATGATCCGTTACACTTAACGTCTTCACTAAAACTGGATCATTATCTGCATTTCTTTCATTAAAACTGTCACAGCCTGTAGAACATGACCTGAAGCTCTAACCCTGTGTGTCTTAACGTGTATGATGTTTGTTTGTAGCAGCAGTTCCTCTGTAGTTGCATGTTACCGGGTTAATATATATTTGTTTGACTTTGAATTGACTTGTTTGTGCTCTCTGTGTTTCCCCTTCACAGGTTCAGATTGTGCACAAAAAGGTCGATCTGACCAACGTTCAGGCCAAATGTGGATCTAAATCCAACCTCCACCATAAGCCAGGTACATTTGTGTTCGTACTATCCTCTATCCAAATCTTTAAATCTACATGTAATAAAATACTTTTGACTTTCTAGCTTTTAGAGCTTCTTTAAACGTAGTCTTTATGGAGCAGGCTTGGTTTTTGTAGTGCTTTGATGTAACTCTGCACTTCTACTTCATTTGATAGGGAATGTTATACTTTCTACTTCACCGCCACATCCATTCTACAGCTGAAGTTCATATAGTTACCTTCCAGATTTTACATCAAATATATTCAATAATAAACGATTAAACCACTGATTCCAAACCTAAATCTTGTGACAAAAGTCAGTGTGTAGACTCCTTGTCACGTCTCAATTTCATTCATTTGTTGCTACAGGAAAAGGGGAAGGGGAAATGATCAAATATTTTGCAAAAAAAGCTCATATTTGAGACAGGTCCAACAAATGAATACAAATGTGTGTATCAGAAGTTTTTCCCCTGACACCTATCTGGAGACCTATCTCTGGAGGGGCCCGACCCCTAGTTTGGGAACCACTTGATCTAATACGGCAATATATTATAAAATAACAGCCACAGGGACATTTTACTGCAGAACAAGTACTTTCACTGACATTTTGAAGTACATTGTGTTTGTAATCATTCTGTACTTTTACTTACTACTAATTTGTACTTCAGTAAAATATCTAGGATGTCTTCCGCTGCTAGGCTTGTGCTTTTATAGGAATTGATTTCATGTTAACTTTCTCTTATTCATATATTTATATTGATGTTCATAAATACGTCTTCATGTGGTTATTTATGGTACTATGCATTCTGTGTTCATCAGGTGGTGGGAATATCGAGATCAAAAATGAGAAGGTGGAGTTCAAAGGTCAGTCTAAGGTCGGCTCTCTGGGAAACATCGGCCACGTCCCTGGAGGGGGGCAGAGGAGGGTAAACACACTCAACAGACTCCATGTTGAAACTAGATCTTCTTTAGTCTGCTGTCACCCTTCTTCATATGATCACTTCCTGCTGGCCGAAGGTGCCGTTTACACGAGGACCAAACGGCTTGTATCTGCTACTTTTCCCTCGCGTATAGCCCGTTCGTCACACGAGGCGGAAACAGACCCCGCAAACGATAACGGGTCCCAAGGTGGATAGATCTGCAAACGGAACGCTCTGGGGGGCCAAACGGCTCCTCTATACGATCATTTCCTGATAACGATGAAATAGCCCCGTCTCCCTCTCCCCACGTCTCCCTCTCCCACCTCTCCTGCTCAGAGATCAGCTGCTGGGCTGTCAGAAGAGGGGGAGGAAAAGAGCTCCGTTTATTATTCTTATATTATTATATAGAGTCGTTATCAATTTGTTTTAAAGCTCAATAAATAACAAAGAAGACCTTTGACCGGCACTTTTCTAATTTTGTCTGGAAGATTTAAACTTTAACGGACATGTTGACCGGCGAAAAAAAAATATTAACTGAAACTCTGCTGCACGGTCCCCTCGTCCCCTGGAAGAGGCGGAGAGGTGGGTGTTTTTCATCTGCTGGTGGGCTACCGGAGAGAATTACAGCAGGAGCACACGCCGTCCAGCGCGGAGAATAAACAGAAGGGCAACCATGGCAACCATGCTCCGGGGTCTTCTTTGCTGCTTTTGGTGTATTTTGTGGCAGCAGCAGCGCCACTTACAGGCCCAGCATATGTACTACAGCGTTTCCAGCCGGTCGAGCGGTCTCGTGTGAACGGACACGTTAATTGAGCCGAATGCGTGTGAACGGAAGACTTATTTGAAAACGAATTTGGTGCGTAAACGCAAACGTACCCGTTTCGTCCTCGTGTAAATGGGGCCTAAGCCTTAGCCTGCATAGCTGGAGAGTTTCATCACATCTGCATGCTAATGACCTACAGAACAACAGCACCTGAACTCAGCAGCAGTATATCCTAAAAGAAGAGAAGTCGAGAGAACTGTGATCTTTAACAGATCATATCAGTTATATAGGAAACTAAATATATCATTAGTGCATTAGAAAGCATTTCTCATTTTCTTTATGATGAAAAGCAAGATGGTTTATTGCTAAATATAGGTGTTCACATACGAGGGATTCTTATTTTGTGGCTTGACATTCAAAATAAAATACATTTAAAAATGAATATATACAAAACATTTCACTTAAATAAAAAAGAAAATAGCTATACAGCTGTTTAAAATATAGGATAGAGTCTTCAAATGTATGTCAAATGTAATACTTGATGTAGATGTATCGAAGTGCAGGAAATAGAATGAACTGTTTGAATGAGTTGGTTGAGAAAAGAGGGTTGCACTCCAAAATGTAAACTTTGCAGGAGTCGAAGTCGTGCTTTAAATGCTGAGCAGACTTGTTCTAACCCACAATGCAGCACATGATTTCAGATTTTAAAATGTTGGTTTAAAATAAACCATTTTAAGAGCTCAAAACAAACCGGTAAGTCGTCCATCTCTCACCCCATCCTTCCCTGAGCTTGCTGCTTTTATCCTTGTTTTGTTCAAGCTTCCATCTTCTGCATCCAGTTGTTGTCATCATAGATTATTGATTTGTCATCATTATATTTCGTTTCTTCATTTTGTTCCGTTGTGTTTTGATTTCTGTTGATGCCATCGCATTTATTTTTGTCGCATGCCTTATCATTCCCTGTGTGGGGTTCCTCTGTAGAGGGAGAAAGGGAAGGAAGCAGAGGGGAGTTCCTCAGGCAGCCCCTCAATCCCCTCCCCCGCTGTCACCCCCCCCCAGTCACCTCAGACTGTCCCTTCAGCACCCATCACACCCATCCTGACGAACCCCCTCATAAAGATTGAGGACTCCCGTAAGTACTCACCAGCTGTGTGTCGGATAAATACTTAGATACTGCAGGCTGAAAGCACGTGCACAGCTGAGCATTACAGCGCTGTGTGATGGACGTGCCAGAAATATGCTGCCATAAAAGCTGACACTAAATCAACACTGAAAATCTACTATGCCATACAAAATGAGGAAAGTCATGATGATGTAATTTGCCATCAAAATATAAAAAAGATCATACTGTAGCAGGTCACATAAGATTCGTACACAAATCAGAGTATAGTAGGTCATAGAAAGTCAAAGAAGTATGTGGACATTTCAGACAAAACATGGGAAAACAAGGTCATAGTATCTTGCAAAAGTCACTGACAACAACATCGTATACGAAATAGGAATATCAGACGAACCTAAATAGTATATAATTAAAAAAAAAACAATCCTAATAGTTTGTTAAAAATATAAGAACAAACATCATGGCATAGTATGTTGAAAATGTGCAAAAAGAAAGACATACTGTAGTATAGTACATGTGAAATATCAGAAAACCAACATAGAAAGGTCTAAAATATCAGAAACGGTCATATGTCGAAAACATTGTTAAAAACTACAGTAGGTCATTAAAAGGTAAAAAAAAACGTATAGTATGTAATAAAATATAGGCCTATATATATTTTATTACATACTATACGGTTTATATGTATATATATATATATATGTTAAAAATAACATGTATAGTATGTCGAAAATATGCAAAAGGAAGGACAAAGTATTCATTTAAAGGGGCGCTCCAAGCTGCATGTGTGACCCCCTGCTTTGACCCCCCCGCCCGCAGATTGAGAGCCACAAGCTGAGCTTCCGTGAGTCCGCCAAGGCGCGCACGGACCACGGCGCAGAGATCGTCTCCCTGGAGGACTCCCCCCACCCCCTCAGCACCGTGTCCTCCTCCGGCAGCCTCAACATTGCCGACTCCCCGCAGCTCTCCACGCTGGCCGACCAGGTGTCCGCCTCCCTGGCCAAACAGGGCTTGTGAACGCCCCCCCCTCCCCCAACCTCCACCTGGCTCCACTCAACCACACGACCACGTAGAGGAGTTGTGATGCCTCCCTCGTTATTTTCACAGGACTTTTTTAGCTACCCATCACTGTTTATCCTTCACTAAACTGGCATTACGTAGAGAGAGAGAAAAATGATTAACAAGTATGTATTTAATTTCTCTCTGTGGTCTCTTTATTTGCTATTTTTACCTTTTGTAAGTCTCCCTTTTAAGAGTTTAAGCACCCCAGCAGAGCAACATTGTCCCTGTGAATCCACAGATCTTCATACATATCCTGGTAATCATTTAACACTTGGTTTCCTGTCCCATCGACTGTGGCCCTTTAGAGAGGTCTGTATCTAACGTGTCCCCTTTCCTTTCCTGCTGGGGTCCGGGTTGTGCTAACGCAGAAGGAGCAGCTAACAGGGTACTGTGAGGGGTGTCGGAGGAAAACTGCTAAAAAGAAAAGTAGCAAATTAATTGTGCAAGGCAGAGAAAATGCTTTCAGACCTCAGTGCTGTATTTTGCTTGGTGTAGTCCCGACATGACTGGGGTGTAACCTGGATAAAAAAAAGAAAAGAAAAAACAACTGCTAGCGTAGAAACTTTGGTTTGTGTTGGGCACAGTTTTATAATCGTTCTCTGTGGATATATGACATGTATTTGATATGAAGAAACATTTGTATCGTGCCTGCTACTGTCAGTGTTATTTTATTTTTTGTTACTGCTCTATTGTAAATGCGCTTAAGAAGCTAAATTAACCTTAAAGCATTTTAAACTGTCATGGCCAAATTATTAAGAGGAATAGAGACTCGAAGCTAGTCATTGATAACAGTACATTTAAGGTAGGTAGAATAATCATCACAATTACTGGAAGTTATTCTTAAAGCGAGACAACGCAACTTCTGATAAAATGATGCTAAGCTAACAGTGTTAAAGTAAAGAAGCTAGTTGTACATTTGACTTTTAAGATTGTGTTAGCTCCTCTCTTAAACGTTACATAATCTCACTTTAAAGGTGGAAAAAAGTAGTACATTTGTTCTCAACCATAATGATTAGCAGGTTGGTGGATGATAATGGATGATGATGATGATGATGGATGAAGATAGGTTGACTGGGCCAAGTTAAGTTGAGGGAAAGCTGTACAGCAGTTGATGTTTGTCTCTGGACGGTTCCACATGACGCCAAGTTAGCTGGTTGCTTTTATCTTCCCTAATAAAATACTAGAGATCACGGCTAAGAAAAGTACTAAGTCGGCCAAAAGTATGTGGTTGTGGACACCCGAATTCTCGCTTTGTTGGCCTATATCTCAAGAAATTAGGACCAGCAATGTGTCTGTAATACTTCTGACTAACATACTTAGTTTCCTCAGCTAATTCCCAAGTTTAAAAGCAAAGATTAGTTAATCGCTCTCATGACCACCTCAATAGTATCTTGATCCACAGATTCAAAGAGAGTAATGAGTATTTAGTGTTTTGTAAAGATGCAACCAGCCGTTTTCCTCAAGTTGTAATGAGATCCTTAACAATATAACACTCCGTTCATGTGCTCCAACACGTCCTAATGTCGATCGATATTCCCAGTGACTCATCACTATTACGCGCATTAATATTAAGTGAAACAACTTCTTGCATGCACCTCATGTAGGAGTCTGCCTGTTGCCCCCCCTTTCACAAAGTGGTCTCTTTGTACTTCCTCTTTAATGAACACTTCCTGGATATGGAAAGACATGGTCTAGAAAAAAAAGGTGGTTATAAAGAGTCCAAACACTCCCAACTGTGTGTATTTAACATGTTGCCGACATAGATTTAAAGGTGTTTTATCTCTATGATCGCAAAGATAGGACGTAAGAGTGCTTGCACCTTTATCTGCATGCTGAGTTCTTTAGACCACATCATGTGTGGGTGAGAGGAGGAGGAGAGGTAATGTGCTTCGGTGGGTCGGTTTTCTGCAGTAACAAAACTCATCACCCTTTTTTTCGTTTGGTTGCTTCTGACGCTGTACAGTTGTGGAAATGTGATTGTTCTCGTTATTGTGCATTTGATCAATAACTGGTTTATGATGATTCTTGTTGCTGTATATGTGTATTTGAAAATAAATGCTATGAAGTCACCGTCGTTGTGGAGGATTATATCACAAGTACGGAAATCGCTCCCTATTTTTCACGTAGTGCACCGTCTGCCATTTGTTTTACGGAAATATACCCAAATGTGTTCACAATGGCACGTTAGCAGATGTTCTAATGATACACATTTGTAACTATTAAATGTTAAAAGATGAACAGTGACTGAGTGAAAGTGGGAGTGATTTCTGACAATGATCACACTTAAAGGACTTGAGGCCAGACCAATAACGCCAAGTTAAACATAAATGTTTTAATGGTACTATTTACAAAAAAGAAAAAACAATTCTGCTTTTTGATTAGGTTAACTGCTGCAACAATCAAACAGGTACATTGACATCTTGCTTAAACTACAAAAGAAAAAAACAGTGATTGAATGGCTGTGGCATTAAAAGGAGGTGTAAAATGAAAAAACAACCATAGTTTTTTTTTGCATAGCAATTAGTTACTTAAGGTGGGGGAGGAGAAGGGGGGGGGGCAAGAATAGTGTGGTTATGATGGTGGTGAGGGGGGGTGGCAAAAAACAATGACCCCATCTGGCAATGGAGTAGTCTAATCAGAGTGAATCCATTACACAGCAGAAAAATATTCCCTTAAATTGAAAAACCTGAGCTCGGGGTGGGGGGGGGGGCTTTTAGCTGCTACATTTGAAATGATTGCAAGAGGGAAGAAAAGAGGAAGGGGGGGGGGAGTTGTGTTATTTCTTTATTTTGCCACATTTTTCTAATACAGCAACGACTGTACGAAGAGTGAAACCAGCAGATAGAACAATCACCCCCCGCCGCTTGTTTCTTTAAGTGGAAATCTTACTGTGATAAGACTAACATGAGCATGTTTACTTTTAGCATGCAGCAGCGCTTTATTTCTGTACGGGCAGGTGCTCAAAAGACACCCCCGGCCTGTCTATGCCACCACCCTCTTTAAAAAAAGAAGAAAAAAAGAACAGAGACAGCGGGGCGAGACGAGGAGCCGGACACTCTCTCCAAAAAGAGACCGTAGAAAGGAATGATTTACTATTTCATAAAACACAAAGAATGTGTTACGCAGGAACAGACAGAACACGTACAAATAAAACATGTCAGGAATGAAAAAACAAACAAAGAAAAAAAGCAAAAACCAACAAAACTAGACTTGGCAGTTGGAGAAGTGCTCTGGTGATTTCAGGCGACCTCTAGTGGGAGGAGAGGGGAACCACATCTCAAATGTACCTGTTTATTTGGATGAGGAGGAGAAAGGAGAAGGGGATTTTTTCTTGTTTTGTAATTTGTCACTCCACTAAAAATGTACATGGGAAATACAAGCAAACTAGTCAATAGAAAACACCCTTTGGCCATATTTTGAGGAGTCCGCTACATAGTGCGCTACAAGTGTACACGCGACATATGAAACACCACTAAGCCCCCATGTACATTGTTCAGCCTACTACAGAAAACATTTTTTGTAACGTGTTTTATACTTTTTTTTTTTTACATTTATCCTTTTTTTTCCTGTGACAAAAACAAGTGTAGGGAAAGGCTTCTATCTCCATAATGTTCACTAAAAACTGTGAAAAGTATTAGACTGATGTTTGAATATCAAACAACAGGAACCCATTTAATATCTTTTATTCTGCTTTGAGGTTCTGCTTGTTAATGCCAGAGAGGAGCTGTGGGGCGGGAGGGGGCGGGGCCGCAGCCTGTCAGTCATTCATCGGTGGGCGGCGGAGGCCGCCTTGAGTTTGGAGCCGCCGTCCTCGTCGCAGGGCGGCTCCATGTCGTCCGAATCCAGCCGCCCGTAGGCTGTTGCCCGGCAACCTGAGATGGTGCGGATCCGCGGCCTGATGTCGCTCTCTGGCTCCGGCTCGGGGTCCGCCGGCAGGGGGAAGCCGCGGCGCTCCCACGGCGCCACCGTCTGGAAACATCAACATCGACGTTAAACATAGAGTCAAATGTATACTTTTTTTCCCCTACAATTATTATTATGAACTGGCTTACACTTACTAAGTCACTATAGCTAAATAACTGATGATTTAAAACCACATTGTTTAAATATTTTAAATCATCAACAGTCAACCTTACAATGTTAGCACGTTATAGATATCCTGATTTTCTCCATATCCCACAGCCCTTTATGTCGACTCATCTCATGTTCATGTACAGCACGGGGAACTACGACACCCTCATCTGAATGCACTGCAGGTTGGTTTTGTCCAATCATCATTTAAAAATGTTCATTGAACCGGTGACTTAAATCTCACATGATAACAAACAATATTCTTGGTGTAAAAACATTATAAACTAACTATTTAGGGATTGGATCATTTTGAAGCGCTTCTAACAGGAAGCAGATGTCTGCCCCCTGCTGGAGGGGGGGGTACGTACCCTCTCCTCGAAGGTGAAGTCGGGCGTGGAGCAGCGCGTGTCCTCGCTGGACAGCAGCCGGTAGGAGTCCCTGGAGCAGGGTGTGTGGGGGTTGGAGGCCGTGTCGGGGCTGGGGGGGCTCATGGGGGAGGGCATGTAGCTGTAGTCGTGGAGCATGGGGCAGTGGCCGGGGTCCGGGGAGGCCGGCTGGGGGGTGGGAGGGTTGGTCCCGCACAGCAGAGGGGTGGTGCGCCCGTCAACAGACTTATACGACCTGAGGGGGGGGAGAGGTGAGGTCACACATTCAGTCTTCTTTGTATTGTTTCCTGTCTGATATTATGTAAAGCGTCTTTGAGCATTAGGGAGAGCGCTACAAAATTCCCATGTCTTATTATTATTATTATTCACAACAGGAAGATGAGCCACTCATCTGTGCATTCTGTGTTTTACTTTTGAAGCTTCTTTTGAGGCTTGTCATCATCGCCTTAAAATAAGAAGATTCCATGAACAAATCCTCCGTTTCAAGGAAGTGATTCATCGCATTCAATTATTTGTGTACGCTCCCAAACTGAGTCACTCTACCATCCTTCTACAGTCATCAGCATTTTTGATAATGACCTTTTTAAAAATGACCTTTTCTGTACGACTTGAGTCATTCACTGTAATAGTGTTGGAGACATTTTTAGCTATTGTGGTTATATAAATGTCGCTTTTTTGTTCTGCACATTAACATACAACAAATCCTGAATGAAGCTCAGGACTATTGGGTGCTGGGCGAGTGAGTGAGTGAGTGAGTGAGTGAGTGAGTGAGTGAGTGAGTTACTGACCTGCTGCCTCTCCTCTTGGCCGGGGCCAGGGCCATCCATGTCCAGCGGGATCGCTCCTGGTCCTCGTGGGGCTGGTGGTGCACGGTGAAGGCGGCGTCCGTCAGGTCCTCCACCTGCAGACACACACAGAAACACACACAGAAACACACACCATCAGGACAGGGACATGTGCCAACCACTACTTTGATAACTGATAAATAATTTAAATACCACGTGACAAACACCCTCTGGTTTGACCTTGCCATGTTCCTGCAAGGATCACCGAGTTCAATTCAAGACTTTAAGAGTCCTGTTGATACAATATTGAAGGCATGTTGTGAAAGTATAAAATAAAGAAAACCAGCAGGGATAATTATTCATTATTTTTAATTAAAACTAGCACTTTATTCCCTCAGTCATTCCTAGGAAATATTAGCAATAATTTCAATTTGAATTAAAAAGTGAAGGTTAGACCCTGCAGCAAAATGGAAAATATTTCAGACCTTTGTTCATCTTTCTGAGGGAACTGATAAATAATTGAAGTCAATCCTGACTAGTTGTCTTTGTAAGACAGTTATAATAGAAAAGTGACTAATGTTTAGATTTTGATTATTGTGGAACGCCAATTGGTATTTTTACTTTTTACACATTTTCAAGAAAAACATTTGTATTATTTATTGAAAACTATTGGTCTAATACACGCGTTTCCTTTTACACTTTTTTGCAACAGGGCATGTTTGTTTGAGGGAAATTGTTTTTTTGAAGCTGTTGTTGGCCTGTGGAAAGATGTAATCATAAGAAATGAGTCTGCAGATAGAGCCATAAGAAATGAGTCTGCAGATAGAGCCATAAGAAATGAGTCTGCAGATCGAGCCATAAGAAATGAGTCTGCAGATAGAGCCATAAGAAATGAGTCTGCAGATAGAGCCATAAGAAATGAGTCTGCAGATAGAGCCATAAGAAATGAGTCTGCAGATAGAGCCATAAGAAATGAGTCTGCAGATAGAGCCATAAGAAATGAGTCTGCAGATAGAGCCATAAGAAATGAGTCTGCAGATAGAGCCATAAGAAATGAATGCAACTGATTATTTAATGTTTAATGTTGTTTTTATAGGCAATCATTTAAGCTTTGTTAGTTCTAGGTTTAATATGTGCAATAAGTTCATTTCAATACGTTTTACAATAAACATTGAACCAGTCCGGCCCTCGACTAGTACCCATCTTTTAGTTTTGGCCCACTGTGTATTTGAGTTTGACCCCCCTGGCCTAATAGCTGCTTTGACCACCAGGTGTCACTGTTTGCTCTCTGCCAAGCAGTGTATCTGAGTGAAAGCACATGTGCTATTGTGTATTAAACAGGGAACACATCATTATTTCTCAGAAAGCATCTGCAGATTTTTAACCCTTTGATCTCTGGGATAGAAAAGACCTACCATTTACTATTTGTATGCATCTTAAAATACTTTATATGACTGAAATGAATGTACAACATAGGCTAATAGGTATTGGCAGATTTAAAGCCACAAATAATGGATGATTATTAAACCATTTTTTACTCTGAAATAATTACCATTTTAAATTTCTGACACAACTGCATGTAACATAGCAAAATGACATCAACATAAGCACTGCTGCGAAAGACAGTAGCCTTAGCTTCATGATTTAAAAAGAATGAATGCTCTAGCTCTTATTTTTTAGATTGATTTAAAGAGGATTGTGCAAACTAGCACCCATGGCCTCCCGTGGGAGCTGTGTTTTCCAAGGGTGAGTCATATGGCACAGGTAAACAGATGTCTAATGAAGGATCCGCTAAATAAACATCACATGGAACACAGCAGTGGACCCT